AGAGAGAGAGAGAGAGAGAGAGAGAGAGAGAGAGAGAGAGAGAGAGAGAGAGGGACCAGCTACCTGCGCCCGTTGGGTTTTGAAACGGGCTGCAGTGTTTGTCTGCGCGCCCGAACCTGGCGCCGAGAACGTCTGGGTACGGTGTCGCGCCCCACCGCTCCAAGGGTCGGGTTAGATGTTCTTCCCCGGACCGAGCTCAGTGGGTTGGAGAACTGGCAGGCTGTCACGAAGAATTTTGATAGGTATGAAGTTAGAGGTGTATTCAGAGGCAGTCACACTGTCATACAGCCGAGTAGTGAGGGTTATCCCTCCTGCCAGCGGCGACACGGCTTAGAGTGAGGCGTTCGGGTTTATTGCCTGCACCTGAACCCGTATAAAGGATAGACCCAAGGTCACCGGAGTCCCTATCATCCAGGAGTCCTTCAAGCTGCCTTGAGTGTAACCTGTGTAAACAAGGAGGAAAATAGCATGCATACATCATAAAGCACTTGACACTGACAAAATGAGAAAACCAGAAACCAGACTCTGCAAAAGCATGACCAGAGAAATGAGACTGAAGAGTAGTACACAGTGTATGCAGGGAGCGGCCATTGGAGGCTGCAGTCACTAATAAATAATAATGTTGTAATACATCAATAGTGACTGAAAAGAGAGAACCTCAATCAATGATAATAAGCGGTACCCCCTCGTGAGTGANTAATAAATAATAATGTTGTAATACATCAATAGTGACTGAAAAGAGAGAACCTCAATCAATGATAATAAGCGGTACCCCCTCGTGAGTGAGTGTTGTCGTCTGGGACTCCTCGTCATTGAGAATTCGCGTGGCTATCGATTCTGGTACCACGTAGCTGATCTCGAGAGGCGCCGCTGGATCAATCTTGCAGATATAGGCCATGCATCTGGCCATCTCCTCGTCTGCAACACTTCTGAGATAAAGCTCCTCCGCAAGAATGATATCGCCTGAAGCTCCAATCAATATCTCAATACGTCCTCTCCCACCAGAGTAGATGTAGGAAACCTCAAGAAAGCAACCCTATGCTCGGGGGTACGTGAACTCGCACTCAAACCACAGTATCTAGCCTGGGCGCACACATATCCAGCGCAAGTGCACATGGGCACGCACTCAAATAACGATATCCAGCTTGGGCGCACACGGGCGCGCACTCTAACTGCTATGCCAGGCTTGGGCGCGCACTCTAGCTACAATATCAAGCTTGGGCGCTCATGGGCGCGCACTCTCAAGCTTGGGCGCGCATGGGCGCGCACTCTAGCTGCAATATCAAGCATGGGCGCGCATTCTCAAGCTTGGGCGCGCATGAGCACGCACTCTAGCTGCAATATCAAGCCTAGACGCGCATGGGCGCTCACTCTCAAACTTGGGCACGCATGGGCGCGCACTAAAAATATCTCATCTAGGCGCGCACGTGCGCGCACCGAAAAATAATTATCTGATCTAGGCGCGCGCGGGCGCGCACCGAAAAATAATTATCTGATCTGGGCGCGCGCGGGCACGCATATAAAATAATTATCTGATCTGGGCGTGCGCGGGTGCGCACGGAAAATAATTATCTGATCTGGGCGCGCACTGAAAATAATTATCTGATCTGGGCGCGCACTGAAAATAATTATTTGATCTGGGTGCGCGCGAGCGCGCACTGAAAATAATTATCTGATCTGGGCGCGCGCGGGTGCACACTGAAAATAATTATCTGATCTGGGCGCGCGCTCAAATAATCATTCTGGTTATCGGTGCACACTTAAATTGCAATATCTGGCGCAGGCGGTTGATAAAGTCAAACAACGGGGAAACTCGATAATGCCCGAAAGTTGACGAAGTTGGCGACGAGGAGTTTATTGGCCTACGATCATAAGAAAGTCAAAATGCTGATCAGAGTCCTCTGGTTTGAGCACTCTAGTTCGCTGGTCAAAGCAAAGTTATCAAATTTGGACGCCTATTGGCACGACAGTTCAGTTCGACCAAGACAAAAATCTCTCTGTTGCTTCCCCTGAACTCAGCTTCTTAATTGCGTGAGAGCGCAGTTCTCAGCATCTGCAGTGCTCGCCGGGGTATGCAGTTCCGAAATCAACAATTTTATCTGCAATGTGTGTCCGGGTGCACGATCTCAAAACCCGATAATGTTATCTGCGGTGTGCGCCTGGACGCACAGTCTCAAATGCCAACTGTAGTGCGTGCCTGGGCGCTCAGTGCCAGAGCGCACAGTTCCGAGCGGTGCGCGTCAGAGCACACAGTTCATCAACAGTGTGCGGCGGGGTACACAGTTCCTAACTCGGGAATGTCATCAGTGGTGCGCGTCAGAGCGCACAATTCCAAACTCATCAGCGGTGCACGCCAGGGCACACATTTCGAAACTCGGGCATGTCATCAGTGGTGAGCGTCAGAGCGCACAGTTCCGAAATCATCAGCGGTGCACGCCAGGGCACACAGTTCCACACTCGGGAATGTCATCAGTGGTGCGCGTCAGAGCGCATAGTTC